TTCCTAAAATATGTCCAACATAGCCTTGCTAAATGTGGCACACTTGTTGCAGATAATAATCTGAGGCAAGCATTTCAGGATGATCAACTGCTAATTATTAGCTTGTCCTATTATGGCTCCTGACAAATGACTATTTTTAATGATGGTCTTTAAACACTTTAACCTTCCTTCTAGCCCACTACCCAACAAAATTATTGAGGAAAACTTCCCTAACCCCAGCCCAGGTCTTAGACGACAGAGTTACCCAAGTCTCATCATTTGCTGTGGGGAGCATTTCCTATGTGCTAACCACCCAGAGACCCCTGCCCTTACAATGTCCTTCTCAGACTTCAAATGGCCAAAGGAAAGTCCCAGGTAAGAGGGTTGCTATGCTCTTCTAGTTGGATGTCTAAACACCATGATCAAAAGCAACTTGGTGAAGAAAACATTTGGCTAAGGTCACAGCCCATCACTAGGGAAGCCAAAACAGGAACCCAGAGGTCATGGAGGAACAGTAGCATGGGCTTACTCGGCCAGCTTTCTTATACCACCCAGGAATACTTCCCTAGGCATAGGGAATGGAGTGGGGGTAGCACCACCCACAGTGGGCTGGGGCCTCCGACATCAATCATTAACCAAGAAAACACTTCACAGTCTTGCCTACAAGCCAGCCTGATGGAGGCTCTCTTTTCTCAAATAACTCCAGCTTCATCAAGTTCACAAAAATCTAACCAAGACAGCAGCTAACTACAAGTACCAGTTCTGGGTCCGCAAATCCAGAAAGACATCTCACACCACCCATTTTGCCTTGTTTTTGTTCCCTTGTTGTTTCAAAACAGGGTTTCTCTGTATAGTCCTGGCTGTCCTGGGACTCCCTTTGTACACCAAGCTGGCCTTGAATTCAGAGATCTACCTGCCTCTGACACCTGAGTGCTGGGATTAAAGGTGTGCACCTTCACGACCAACTTACTTTGCCTTGTTTATAAAAATAAACTACTGACATCATTTCCAATAATCCCAATTCTTTGATCAACTGGTCTGTCCCAAGGCTAATAGCCTTAAATAGGTCTAATTTCTGGTCCCTCTGCTGTTGCCATCAGTACTGGATTACTAGTGCAGTCTTCATGTGGAAAAAGCACACCACACAATGTCTTTATAAAGAGTGGAGTGTGCACTGTTCATTATCACAGCATTCTGCAGTGCAGACCTGGGAATGAGGTAGACACACCCAGGATTTCAGACTGCCATTTATTGGGGGATTTCTTGTCATCAGAAGCATGTTTCCAGGTGGCAGTATGACCAGTGGATCCCTATGATCTGTGTGAGCAGAGGGAGCTGATGGAGGGAGGACAAAAGCAACGTAAGCAAATGCCTGCTCCTCTCAAGCTAATAGCAGAGATTTTGGGGGCATCCCTGCACTCCTGGTACCCGGTGTGGAGGGGCAAAACTTTGTGATTCTGATGGGTTAGCTTCATTATAGTCCCATGAGACAATGGGAGGGGACCTGACAGGATTATTCAGAAGTAACTATGGTTGCTACAGCTGCAGACATGTCAAGTTGAATCCCTCCATTGTGATAATGTTACAGTATGTTTAAAAGAACGTGGGATGCATCAACATTTCTAGTTAAAGTGTTCGTCTGTATCCCAATTCACAGGAAAGCAACAGTCAGGAAAATCAGGAAATTTTGTTTTGTTTTGTTTTTCCAAGACAGTTTCTCTGTGTAGCCCTGGCTGTCCTGGAACTTGCTCTGTAGACCCTGACCTCGATCTCAGAGATATCTGCCTGTCTCTGCTTCCTGAGTGCTGGGGTTAAAGACATACAATACACATCAGGAAATTTTTAATGAGCTATTACTGCAGAATTTGTCATCAGTAAGATAGAGCGAGTGACATCTCAGCGGCTCAGAGGGTAAAAGCATTTGCAACTGACCCTCACGACTTGAGTTCAGTCCCCAGAACCCACAAGGTAGAAGGGGGAGACCAACATTCCAAAGCTGTCCTCTGACTTCCACCGGTATGCCACCGAAAAAATGTAATGTAAAACACTTCTTAAATGGGACCGGAGAGAGGAGTCATGACTTAAGAGACACACTTAATTCTAGAGAGTGTGAGTTCCTCTGTCTGTCAAGCTTACAGCCACCCATAACTACAGCTCTAGAGGGATCTGTGTCTGCCATGCATCAGCCCCTGGGCGCCAGGACACCTGTAGTCACGTCTATATGACACCTCCCGTATATGCCGTCCCCCAGCATGCCACCCCCAACATCCGACACCCCAACATCTGACACACCAACATCTGACACACCAACATCTGCCATGTCCGCCATCTGACACCCCCAACATCTGACACCCCAACATCTGCCATGTCCGCCATCTGACACTCCAACATCCGCTACCCCCAGCATATGCCACCCTTCTATATACATATTAAAATATTTTTAAAGATTTTTGTTGTTGTTTTTTAATGAAAGACAATCTGGTCATGGTGGTTCATGGCTGTGACCTCAGCATTCAGGTGGATGAAGTAGGAGAATTCTTGTGCTCACCAATGAACTGGGCTACATAGTGAGCTGTGTCTTAAATGAACACCCCTACGGAACCATCCTCAAACCAATAAAAACAACCAACTGAACCAACAAAAATCCAGGTAGACAGTACAAGTGAAGGTTCTGGGCTTGTTATTCGTGCAATAGGAGCTGCCCACCAGTAACCCCTGTGAGCAACGAGGCAAGGCAAGAACCCTCTGGTACCTTGAAAATGTCCTTTTTCCTACAGCTAAAACTAGAAAAAAGTAAGCAGAAGTAATTTTGTCCAGCTTTATGCCCTTTGACCATGTGTGCCTTGAGTTCACTCAGGAATACAGACCCAAGTCTGCTTCCGTGACTCGTGGATTAGGAATTTAAATTGAGCATGCTCAAGAAGCATCTGACCCTTAAGTGCCTTCTCATATGAATGAATACAGGATCAGGAATAAATCCTCACCTTTCCTTTCTCTGATGAGGGCACCTCTCTTCCATGCCCTTTGTTTTGGCATTGTACTCACCAAGGTATGAACCAGCAGTGTTCATTTACACTGACTGATACACTGTGACAGTTTGTCCCAGAAGGCAGCCACCAAGAGACTGATGAATGGGTCGTGTATAGAGTGGGCACATGTTGGACAGAGGGATGATTCATACCCTGGATGGGAAGGAGGAAGATTTCTTCACCCTGCTCAGAATGACGTGAGTGGAGAGTAATGTTCAAGGTCGGTCTAACTGCATCTGGGATCCCCTAGGAGACACACTTGGGAACTCCATTGGGGTGGACTGTCTCCTCTCACACCAGTGAGCCTAAATAAACTGTTCCTTAGTTACTTTGATCAGATAGTAACTATCACAGCAACGAGAAAAGTCACCAATACAGTATACATTATTTGTTCATTTTGGATTTTTGGGATAGGGTTATGTCTTGGAACTTGCTGTGTAAACCTGACATACATCTGTTTCCTGTTTTGTTGTTGAGACAAGCCCTCTACTTAGCATCGGCTGTCCTAGAAACTTGCATGTAGACCAGAATGGTCTTGAACTCAGACCCGCCTGCCTGAATGTGTGCCCCTAGCCTAGCAGGTTAAAGATTTATTTTTATTTTACATATGAGTGTTTTGCCTGCATGCATATCTGTGCACTGTATGCATGCAGTGCCCATAGAGGTAAGAAGAGGCCATTGGACTGGATCCTCTCAAACTGGAGGCTGCAGTATAAAAATTGTAAAACTTACATTGTGACTAGGTGTGTATACGTGGATGAAATTCAGGGTTTAGGGTGTGTTAGGCAAGCACTTTACCACTAATAAACACACACACACTCACACACATTTTCTCAGCCTATGTCCAGAATTTTCTATTTAATATTTTTAGATTGTTTGCCATGGATAACTGAAATAATGGAAGCAAATCCAGGCCTAGGGAAAGAAGACTACAGTTCAGTCTTTAAGAGCAGGTCCAGATTTGTTCCAAAGTGTTTTTACCACAAGTCTATGGGTGCAAAATAAAGATGGATTTTCCTGTGAATTTTTTACTGGATAGACTATATTAGTCAAGTCTGGGGCTTGGGGGAAGGTCCAGCCATGAGTAAAGTGCTGGCTGCTTGAAGCTTTAAGGTCTAAGTTCAGATCCCCAGTAGCCTTGTACTAGCCAGGTACAGCATGATGAGACTGTAATCACAGTGCTGTGAGCCAGCCTGGTGGAAAGGGTAAACTCTAGGTTCTGTGAGATAATCTGTCTCAAAAAAGATGGAGGGCTAGCAAAATGCTCAGTCAGTAAAAGCACTACCCAGCAAACCTCATGACCAGGGTTCCATCTCTGTGACCCACAGGTCATTAAAGGTGTGTGTTATGCTTACCCAGTTCCTACTTTTGTTTGTTTGTGATGGTTTTGCAATTAAGCCAATCTGGCTGCCAAACTTCCTAAACAGCAGAAGGTGACCTTGAACTTCTGGATCCTCCTGCCTCTACTTAAATATTACACATTCACAACACCATGTCTGTTCTGTATGGTGATGGAGATCCTAAATATAGTCATATCTTTTTATAAAAAGTTCATTTCTCTTTTAAAAATGCATTTTACATAGAACTTTTTAATATGTTTAACTTAACTCTAAATGCATTGTTGTGAAGGTGTGAGTCAGATCTCCTGGAACTGGAGTTACAGACACTTGTGAGCTGCCATGTGGATGCTGGAGATTGAACCCAAGTCCTCTGGAAGAGCAGCCAGTGCTCTTATTTGCTGAGCCGTCTCTCCAGCCCCAGAAATGTTTAAAAATTAATGTCCAGTTTGAGTTAAGAAGCAGAGCTTACCACTGCCATGTCAAATGTCTCCTGTTTGTCAGCCGATAACACCTCCTGAGCAGCAGGCTTCTCTCCTCCCATGTGTACACCTCCAAAGAGCCATCAATAAAGGTGACGATGACATAAACAGGGTCCTTCAAAGATCACCCAAATGTAAGAAGGCTGGAGTCAGTGTCAGATCAAAAGACAGGGAGAGGGGCTAGGAGACAGTCCATCAGGTAAAGGCACTTGCTGAGCAAGCCTGGTGCTCGGACCATGTAAAGGTGGAAAGAGAGAGACTAAGTCCAGGAAGTTGGCCTCTGTCCTCTGCAAGTGCTCATGCATGTGCCAATGCACACACGCACACCCCAACAGTGTGGAGTTTTAAAAATATAAATCTATTTTTATTAAACCCCACTGGAGGAAAAACACTCTAAACTTACCACCCATAGACTCAAGATCTCTTCTGGGTAGTACTGAAATCTCTGCAGATGGCAGCCCTCCATGCTAAAGAGCAAGAGAGAGGATAGAGTTGAACAGACAATCACGTTCTTGTCACTGACTCCCATCCATTCCAGGCTGTCTTCGATATCTTGGAACTCGAAACTTGCTACCAAGTGTCCTGTTCCAAACAAACAAAATACACAGACAAAATTTCAATCATTTAAGTAAGAGCAAAATCTTCAGCAGTTAAGATCACTGACTGCTCTTCCAGAGATCCTGAGTTCAATCCCTAGTAACAACATGGTGGCTCACAACCATCTGCAATGGGGATCTGATGCCCTCTTCTAGTGTGTCTGAAGACAGTGACAGTGTACGCACATTAAATAAATAAATAAATAAATAAATAAATAAATAAATAAATTTTTTTAAAAATTAAGACCAAAATCCCAAATGCTTAGTTAAAAGCACATCACTACTTCCATGGCATGCTATTTTGATTGAGACAATGAAAACAGTTCCATGTCCTGACAAGTCCATGTCCTTGGCCACCAAAAGGCAGGCTATGACACATGGACAGTATGAACAGTCAATAGCTCAAACATTGGAAGAGACAACTGTAGAGGAAAGGACAGTAGAACCCAGTCCCTAATACTGGACGGAAATGGAAACATGTCTGCCCAAGGAAACCATAGTTCACTAGTGTAGTGACCATCAAACAGGCACAGGTTCACATCTGGCCAAGGAGCTTCCTGCTCCCTTTACAAAACCCAGCATCATCATATGGTGATCCACAATCCCAGCAGAGTCCAGTCATCCTATTGTAATAGACTCATCAGGCAGAGATTAGTTAAGTACATTTTCCCTGTGCAGAGAACTAGTCCAGGGCTGTTCTGTAATTTTTTCTTAAAATGAGACATTGAGACTGTCTTCTGTAACCCAGGATGCTTTGAAAGTATGTCAATGTATAAAATTAAACAAATATGCTTGAGCCCCGAGAAGTACTTGGCCTCTGATTGGACCATCTCTCTCACAGAATCTAAGAACCAGACACCAGAGAGCTGGCAGTAAGGAGAGAAGGCAGTGTATAAAGCACTGGGTATGGTAGCACTTATGAGAAATGTGTCAAAGGGTGGGTAGGCATGTCAGCCAGTGATAGAAAATTGCTTCCAGTTCAGGACCAGCAAAGGGTTCTGGGACTGTTATTTCACCTGCCTTTGTCCTTTGGCTCAGCCAAATTTCAAGGACACTTCACAAGCAGACATTTGCCATTGTGGTTGGTCATGTGACTGCTTCAAGCACATTATTATCTCCTGACTATAGGAATGGCTTTCCTTATGATAGGGCTTAGGAGAGCAGGAGTGGTCTGCCTGAACCTCCCTGAGGACTGGACCTTCCCACCATCTCCCACCTTCACCCTGGAGTTGCTAGAACAGACTTACTTTTGGCAAGATATGTGGGTGTTTCTTACTCAGAAAGACCCATTTCTTCTGAGGAGAGCAGTAGAGTTCTTCAATACCGTATTGGAATACATGGACTTTGGAAATGAGGTGTAAGTCTGGAATCCTAAAGATGGAGAGGTCACTCTCGGTACCACCTGCCTGAAATCAGAGCATCAGCATCTGGTCACTGGGAAAAGGTTAAGCAAGGAATATACAGTCTTATCTGCTCTAAGATCCACCACTGTATCTTCAAGTCCAGTAACAAGAGATCCAAAGCTCTGAGCAGCCTGCCTCACAGAGCATCTGGGATGATCCCTGGGTGTGGGGGATGACTCAGTGCATAACTGGGCAGAGAAAGAGACAGACAGAGACAGAGACATAGACAGAGACAGACACAGACAGAGACA